TACCAATAATAATTTTTGAAAATATGATATGTTAAATACTTATATATTTTTTTTCTTTGTTTTTTATACTTATACCTGAAACCGTGGAATGGGTCATTTGAAACCATTATAATCACAAGTACTAAATTTGCAATTCAACATTTCCTGGAGTGGAAAAAGCTTTTTCAGTAGGCTTTCTATTTCCCAGATATAAGCAGAACAATATTTCAAGGTCAGTAAATTGTAACTGATAACAGAAAAGCAGCTGAAAGTTTTGTTGTTATAGCAGTAGCTAGTGTTGCAGACCCCCCCTCCCCTCCCGTTATCATTCTGTACGGGAAAAATGCCTCTGATTAGCGTATTCAAGGAATGTTTTCTCTCCGATATTTTTTGTTTAGGCCTATTGAATAAAATATAGTACAATACTACCATAGCCAATGCGGTAGTCTAACGGGGCACATCTGGTTCTTTATGACTGCACAACTGGTTTTTCGCATTGCCTTGCTGATAGTTTGAGTATCAATCTGATTTTTGCCACCTTGTTTACCCCCAGAGATAAAATTGATCTTAGGTGAAAATGGCTGGAAGAAATATACGTAAATTAACAGTTAGCGAGGCCCTCGAATATATGCGACAATTATGAGAAAATGAATCCAAAAACGATAATGATGAAGAATCAGCGATGATGAATATGTACCTCCAGATGAAGAAAATATTTCCTCGGATGAAGATACTGTATCTAATTTTCCTGTACAATGTACTATCAGGAAAACCACTTCTGGAAAGAAAAAACAATGTGTAAATAAACGCAAAAAGTTATCAGATTCAAATCCAGATGAAATGAACTCTGGAACTTTTGTTACAAATGATGGAACGTGTTGGGAAAGCATCACCTCTGGAAGTTGTAAGCATGGAAGAATTGCTGAACATAACGTTTTCAAAGAAAAGAGTGGCCTAAGCAGTTATGCAAAGCAAAATATTGAAAATGGCTATGCAATTAGTTCATGCAGGCTACTTATAGATGAGCCTATGCTTCGTCATATCAAAAATTGTACAGACGAAGAAAATCACAGGCAACTTGGAAAAAATGAATAGTCAACAACTTTAGACAAACTAGATGCTTTTTTATCAACTTTGCATGCTTGAAGTATATACAGTGTAAATAATTTAGTGCTTGATAGTCTGTGGTCTGTTGTTTGGGGTTCACCTTTTTTCCACGATACTATGGCAAGAGATAGATTCAGAGAACTTATGAAATTTCTGCAATTCGACACAAAAAAAAAAAAAAAAAAAAAAAAAAAAAACTACACAATCTGAACGCCTTCAAAATGATAAATTCTGTTTCATTTCTGAAGATTGGAAGAAATTTATTTAAAATTCGATAACTCGCTATAAACCAGAACCATACAGTCCTGTATATAACTATTGATGAGCAGCTGTTTCCGTCTAAAGCCAGATGTTTCAAGCAATATATGCCAAGTAAACCAGATAAATTTAGTATCGAGTTCTGGCTTGTCACTGATGTTGATAGTAAATACGTGCTGAATGGTTTTCCATATTTGGGTAAAGATGAGGAGGAACGTCCTGAAAAACCTATCTCTCTCCGAATATGTCGTTTTGCATTTGATAGAACCTTTCAAAAATAAAGGAAGAAATATCACTACAGATAATTTTTTCACTGCACTAAATCTGTTCTAAATGTTAAAAATGAAGAACACTAGTTTTACTGGAACATTGAAATGAAATTGGAAAGAAATGCCTGAATTTGTGAAAAAAGTAAAGATGCTGTTATATGATACATTGCTACTGGAGCATGATGATATAATTTTGACAGTTTATCAGGGAAAAACCAGCAAAAATGTCTTACTGTTGAGCTCTCTTTATTCCACAGTTGATATCGACAATACTCACCCCAAAAAAGCTTCCAGAAACAATATTTTATAACTCAACAAAATTTGGTGCCAACATTGCCAACCAAATGGCTTGAAAATATTCTGAGAAGGCAGGATCAAGGAGGTGGCCAGTTCATGTATTCTACAATATTCTTGATCTTGCAGGGATTAATTCATGTGTTTTATAAAAAGAAGTTATTGGAAAAAAACTTACGAGGAGAGAATATCTTCAACAATTCACTGAAGAGTTGCATAGTGCATATATTCACAAAAGAAAGTACAAGTCAGATACACAAACAAAAGTGGATACTTCTGAAGAATCTGCGCAGATGCGAAAAAGGGTTCATTGTCAAGCTTTCAAGTGTAGAAACAAAACTATAGATACTTGTTCTGACTGTAAAATACTGATATGTGGAAAGTATACAAAATATATAAAAAGAAGTTGCCCAAAATGTGCATGAACTGTGTCGGAAATCTTGACTGGTAAGAAACTAAAAATTTCTATTAAAGTTGTCTGTATATTTTACTAACTGTATACAATATTCCATATTGTAATAGCTTATTTTTATCACTTATTATAACAATGTTAAAAATGAATAAGTGTCATTGCCAAATAATTACAGCATACTTTTAGCATAACAACATGGGTTTTTATCAATTGGGGTCAATTTGACCCCAATTAATAAAAAACCCCTAAATACCAATTAACCAATTAAATAAACCCCTAAATGGGAAAACCCAATTTAGGTGTATGAAAGTGCCGTGGTTCTAGTGTTAAAACAGCTTCACAACCTGCCTTGGGCATCAGAGCATAAAAACCACATTTATCACAAAACCAAACTCATTTATTTAATAATTTTTTTTTTTTTTTTGCTTACTTTATAAAAAAAAAATTGGCTATGAATATCAAAAATACCTTGAATGGTTTTTTACAGTTGAAATTCTAAATCTAAAAGATATCACGTGGATATTCAATAACAAGATATTCAAGGCGGGAAATCTCACTGTGAAAATTGTGAAGAAACTAATCACGCTACCTCTTAGCAATATTCAGAAATACAAAAATAATCCTGAAATTTAAAGTGGCATATGTGTAGCGACAAATTCAGTTTCAAAGATGAAATTTTTCACTTCGTCACATTCAGCGGTTGCGACGGTGGCCTTATGGGCACAAAAATGCCGAACATGCGAGATGCGATGCTGACCAAGAAGGGGTTAACATAGTTTTGAAACGATGTTGAAGGGACTAAGAAAAAGCCTTTACACTTGCTTCAGATAGGAAATGAACCTGTCGTACCTTAAAATTTTCTCACTACATTTGATAATGTTAAAATTAGTGATAATTCTTATTCATAGTAGCTTCAATGCAATGGACTCATTATATCATATCACGCAATTATTTTTCAAATTTCTTGTCCTCAGCAATCAAAACTCAAACTTTTATGAAGTAAAATCTTTGTTTTTTAAAACATATATGATCACTTTAACCCTATGTAAAACATACGAATAACTGCAGTACAAATTGATAGCTTTAAGATATTCTTTATGACATAATTACTGTTTAGAGTCACTATATAAACTGAAAATTTATAAAATTCTATTGAATTTATAAAGCTGCCAACAACTGGAGATTTTTCATGAAGTGCTGAAAATCAGAAAATACTGTACCTTTTCTTACAACATTTATTAAAGTCAAAATAAAAATCTTACTTTCCAGTGTAATGAACTGATCTCTATTAAAAAAATTACATAGTTTAGTTTATCATATTAGCTTTGCTTATAAAAAATTCAAAAGTATATATAATTCATTTAATATTTTTGCTGTGAAGCCTCAAAAACTTCAAACCACTATGATTTTGTGAACAGACCTCCCTCTAATTCATTTTAATTAATACAGGGAATAAAACCATTCTACAGCAAACGACAGCTTCTTTAATATGACACGCATTAATACGATTAACACCTTAAATATACAAATAAGCTTAAAGCTTGATGAAGTTGGCTGAAATATAGGTCAGAATTGCAATGTCTCAAAAAGATGACGCTGACCAAAATATTGGTCATTGAAATTCCTTTATCCTTCAGACTCAGTCATTGTCTGATGACCCGTCCCTTGTCCAATGATATTCACACTACTCACAACTATATGGTTTCATAAATTTTCCTTTCAACGATAGAATGTTAGCTCAGAGCGAAAAACTTTCAGTGCATTTTGCATAATTCACTTGCTCTCTTGAAGTCTACATTAATACGTAAGGTGTAATCTGAAAAGCGTAAAATGCAATGCAAAATAATGAAAATATAATCAGTAAAAAGTTTCTTTAAACTAAAAGAGAATATTAAAAAGAATACACATATTAAAAAAGAACGAAAAAAGCAGTAATATAGTTTGAATACATGAAATATTTACTACTATTCAAAAGGAAGGGGGATAAATATTTTTTTTTTTTTTTTTTTTTTTTTTTTTTCAAATTAAAGAGAAATACTCAAAAAGAGAAAAGAAGATAACATCACAAAAATATAAAGGGATTTGTTTAATATATAAAGACAAATGCTACTCTACTTTTACATATATATAAATATATATACATTATATTATATATATATATAAACTAATGCAAACTGCCTAATGGTGTAAGAAAAAAATGATAAAAAATTATTTTTGTGTACAAATTATTAATCAATATATGTAATTCTAAACTATGTTGAGTTTAAAAAACAAACTAAAACTGATTAGATTATACACTGATTTTTGGCGTACCTAAGAAATATTTGCCACGAAGGCCTATTTTCAATATAAGGCAGTGTCTGCAAAAGTTAATATTCTATCATTTGACAATTACTTCAGCTACGAAACAGTTTCCCTAGTTTAGGAATTACTTCAGCTACATTATTTGACCTAGTTTACGGATACGAGTCAGCAGAAAAGAGAAAACATTCCTTTGCATTCTCTAGTCACTAATATAAAAATTAACAAAGGTGACCCCCTAAAGGAAAGGTTTTAAAAGTTATCCCCTTGCAAAAGTCATTGGTCCCCTTTGCAATCCCAAAATATCTTTAATATTGAGAGTTCAAATGAAATAATATATATCTAAAAAAATTATATACAAAAGAAAATATAAAGGATACAGTAGCTCTATAATTTTGAGAGAAAAACTGGTGAACATAACGCTTTATGATACTTGTTTTTCCTGTTCCTAACTCTCCAATGACCAAAATCTTATACAAATGTTCATGCTTGATAGATGGTGAAACCTGAAAATGGCAAAGTAAGAAACTGGTACCTAAATTTCAATAATAATTTTAGAAATTATTCACTGGAGAACAAAAACCATCAAGCCACATAAAATCATGCAGCTTGCCTTACACACACACACAAATATACATATATATAGCAAACACATATATAACAAACATATACATGAAAAGCTAAATATACACACAAAAACATATACTATATTTTCTTTACACACACATAAACATACAGACAGACACACAAACTACTGGCCATTGCTACATCAGGATGGTAAGGAAACAGCAGAATCATAATTATTGTACATATGCAATACAGTACAAAGTTTGAGATCTGTACTCATCAGGGACTTCGGCAGCACCACACTTGGGACTTTTTTTGGATATTAAGATAATCAATTTAGTAAGATGTTAGTTCAATCTAGTAAGATGACATGCAGAAATTATATGTTAAAAATACAAAAGAGTGGTTTATGAAATAATGAAGCTTTTACGACCTTAATATATCAATCAAAATTTACAAAGTAAAAAAACCTCAATATTTATTTGTTTGCTTTATTAAACATTTCTTTCAATGCAAGTTTTTTAAGTTGCTTCCTTTTTTTTTTTTTTTTTTTTTTTTGCGCTGATACTTTCTCTTGAAACCTAAAGATAGAAATGTATTTTTGTTCAATTACAAAACTCCATTGTTCCAAGAGCTGTAATTGCTGGGTTTAGAATTCTGACGAAATTGTCCAATGAATTTTTTTCATTTTCAACAACCCCCTGTCATTTTCATCATTATCAGCAAGATTCATCACTACCAATATAGTATTTTTTGGCTTTAGAATCGTATTACAATTTCACTTTTCATTATTTGATTGATGACTGGGGCACTACCAATTCAATGAAAACTTGTTATATCATCTGCATTTAGTACCACTTCTTCACTAATTCATTAATTAGAAAATTTCATTTTGTTTGCAATATCTGATAAACTTCAAATTCACAGCTATCATCATAAAGTTTAACTAGCATCTGCTATAGACTATTGGCAAAGAAAGTACTGTCAGATTAAAGAGCAAAGGCATGTTCTGTTAAATGATGTCTTGCCTTTATTACACGCTAACAAAGTTAAGCTTGAATTATATTAATTTAGTTGTGTGTAGTACTTAAGCATGTGCGGGAAGCCTATTTCCCGCTTTACTCAATCCCCGATAAATAAATTCCCACATATATTTAAGGTTTATCCAGGGAAAGCAGTAAACATTTTGTTGTTCTGCGCAGTCTCTGCATACCCTATATTCTAAAAATGTTGCATCCCAGTGCCTTCTCTAAATTCTAAAGATTTCATTACTCCACCATTTAAATTCTAAAAATTTTGCCTTCCCTGAATTCTGCCGCACCAGCTCTGGTGTCGGTCATGGGCGTATTTGAGAAATAAATCAGGAAGATATGATTAAATTTGCAAGTAATTTGGGGTATATAGTGTGCAGAATTCAGTACACAGAACTAACCACCTCTAGCAGCAATTACGGCTGTAATCTGGTTGGGTCCTTGAGTCAACCTGAGCTTGGATAATAAATATGGGTACTTCCATACCATACAGCTTAAACCCTATGCCACTCTTGGCAACTCACGACTAGATGTTTACAATAGGTAACAAATCTGCAGAATGTGTAAGCGAGGGTAACACTGCTGACTTCTGTAAACTGACTCAATCTGCCCCTTTAATGTTCTGTCATTACTTCAGCTAAAATCATGTATACAGTTATTTTCACTTTGGTCATCACTGTCACTGGATTTGTCACTTTTCCTCATATGCAATGTTATCTTCACTTCCATCTAGCACACTGCTAATTCCACACTTTTTAACAGACTTAATGATAGTCTCACTTTTAATTTTCTCCCAGGACTTTTTCACTCATTCGCAAATGCTGAAAACTGATGGCCATTTCATTCTTCCCATTCATGTGAATCTATTCAATCCACTCTTCACACATAAATCCTCTGACCAGTTTATTGACAGAAATGTCCAGAGGCTGCAACTGAGAAGTCAATCCACCAGGAATCACAGCAAGCTGTGTCTTCTGTTCGGTAGCAAGGATTTTTTGCTGATTGCTTCATATGAACCTAGCACACTAATAAAGTTGATTTCTTCACAATTCCACATGGACGCCTTTACCATATCTTCTGTAGAGATGCATTCTTCAGTTTCATACCTTCTCCATCCATTCTTTAGGATAAACATGAATATAAATTCCATGTGGAATTGTACGTTGATGCAGCATTTTCATTTAAAGATTAACAAAGGAGAGGGTATTAAACCACTCAGCACAAGCATGTCTTCTATAACCAGTAGTCTTTGTCAATGTCTTATCACCTTTAACATTTACTGTTTATTTGATGGCATGCCAGATGTCAAAGATACTCATCCATGTTTCCTATTTCTCATGCTCAAAGTACATCTTTTTTCTCAAGTTTATGACATATTTGTGGAATTCTATAATCTTTCTTTCATATTCAAGTGGCAGTTTTTGTGGTATTGTAGTTCTGGTTATGCATGCACAAACCATTTCTTTACATGAATCTCTTGAACCATGATGTTTTCTCAGAAAAATCGGCAATAAACATATCCATCACCAATATTCTTGCTTCGATCAAAATAATTTTTGTTGAAACAATAAACTGCTCTTCCTGCAATTTATTTTCTATTTCTCAATGTGTTTCTAAAACGTTGGCCATTCAGGAGCTCATGAATGCAAAGTTCTTTTATCTACATTCACTAAACCCATCTTCTGCTTTCTCCCTTCCTATTATCATCTTTCCAGTCAAAGGTAGCCAAAAATACCTTTCAGTTTCCATACTCTGAAGCATAATTCACAATTACAAGTTGAAATGCAATACTACTATACAACAACCTTCTCTCTTTAGATCCCATGCAGGTATTCTAATATTAACTTTTTTTATGCTATACTTAGTTTCTCAATGGAAAAGCAGACCTGAACACTAAAGAGAAAGGATTGTATTACAAACTGAATGAATTTCATTTCTTACGTCTGACTGCCTGTAGATTCCCAGTTCATCACAAGAGATATTCTGGTTCTAATGAACCAGTTTTGAGACATTTCATTATTTTGTACTAATAAAAAGTCAACTAACCAGAAAAGCAAGGCCTTTTATTTTAAAGGGTCAAACATGATGCAAATAAACAAATACAAGTTGTGAAGACATGAAAGCTTCAGCAAATTGTTGCTAGCATTTTAAAAGGGCAATAATGCGTTTTAAACAGTAACAATAATTCTGAATATTACTATTTTCAAATATAAATTGGGCTAACATGAGTGGCAGCATAGGTGAAAAACGCTAGACGGCTCTGAAAGCAAAATTGCTTCTGTACCAATCGTACAACTGGTTGCTGTGGTTTGTAAGGTAAAAGTATATTTATGGGTACCCCTTGACGAAAATTGACAGTACACAGATACCGAGTTTGTGCAATTCTTTGACTTGTTATTTTGGCTTTGTGTAGCAGCGATTTTAGCACCAAAAATTGCCGCTACACAAAGACAAAATAACAAGTCAGAGAATTGTATAAACTCGGTATCCATGTATACAATGACCTATTTTCACTTGGAAAAAAAAAATCACAAAATTGCACAAACTAGGCATTGTGCACTTCCTTGACTTTATCCACGTACATGTCAACCTATTTTCACTTAAAAAAATCAGAGAATTGCACAAACTTGGCACTGTGCATTCCCTTGACTTTGTCCATGTACACATTGATATATTTTCACTTAAAAATTCAAAAGAGCATCTAATTCTACAGTAGAGGCAAACAAAAAATACATAATCTCAATAAACTACATTTTAAACCAAACACTAAAATAACATAAAAAAGGAAAAAAAAAACTCTTATGCATCTAAGCACTACACAAAGCAAATATCCACTTACCTTATTTAGAAATTTCTTCGTTTTCAGTCTGTGGCACACAAAATTCCTTAACAGCATCCAAAAAGCTCCTAAAATTATCTGAATTTGAATCCGTATATCAGCGTCACCACATAAATTCACAAAAATAAGAGTAAAAAATATCCTCCGTAGTTCTGGACTGTCCGAAAAATGGCTAGTAAGATTGGGTACTCTTCAGTCTACTCTAACCCAGTCAATTAATGTTCTTTTCCCCTTTCATTCCAAATCATACAGAAACTTCAAATTAATATTATTACATTCAGCCATTCTACCATCTAAACAACAAAGCAAGCAATGTACTTCTTAACCAATACACACCACAAACCCTTACAAACCATCCCATAATCCAAAATTTACCACAATCATGCAACGGATTACATCATAATAGGATTTTCATAACATTCAACTACTCAAGTTACCATATATGAAACAACAACTTGGCGATAAACAAAACAACAACTTGGTGATAAATGAAACAACAAGTTCACGATAATACAAGGGGTACCCTTCAGTCTACTCTAACCGTTTGTTATCGGCATGGCACGATTTCTAGTGAGAAGTGGTGCTACTAATTTTTATTACTTTACATTTTAATATGCACAGAACAGCTTCTTATAATTTTATCTTTTTTATAAAAATGATGCATTTCAAAGCAGTTCTGATTGCCCTTAAGTAAGTGCTATGGAAGTTATTTACTTATTAAAGTTATTTTCTTATTCATTTTCAATGTCATGGCCCATGGTCTAACATGCGAGATGAAATTAAACCGCATTACAGTATACAGTAACATACATATATGCTACATTGTAAACATATATGATTTCTTTGAAAATTGCTTTAAGAAGTATTATCAAGAGTATATTTAAACCATTCTTCTTTCTACTGGTTCAAAACAGTGTGATTATCAGCATTTGTAATAAAGGCAACTATTTTTGAACCCTAATGTGGGAAAAAAGATTTAAACTCAGCAAATCAGCATCTTAGAAGATGAAGTTATATTCTCGACCCATAAGATGCAGACTGACTTCAGGGCACATTTTGGAGTAAAGTAGGTCCTTATGGGTTGGGAAATATGGTGTGTATATATATATATTAAATCATGTACAGTACAAAGTCCATAATCCGGACTCGTTGGGACTTTGGCGATTCCGGATTACAGATCATCAATTTAAATCATGTAAGATAGCACGCAGAAATTATGCAATTAAAAATATAAAACTGTAATTTATGAAATAAAGAGCAATTATGATCTAAAGGGTATCACATTTTACCAAAAAAAAAAAAAAAAAAAAAAAAAAAGCTTAATATTTTATTGTTTACTTTATTAAACATTTTTTTTTTCAATGCACGCATGCGTAAAGCATACCAAAAAAAAAGTTTATGGCTTTTAGGTCCGGATTATAGATCATTCCGGATAATGTCCAGATTACGGACTTTGTACTGTATAATAATGATACATAAATATCATGGTCCTAAATACATACATATATACACACACATATGTATATATGTAGCATAAAAAATATATAAAGCAAAACAGATACTTTAATTCTGTAATAGCACCTTAATTCTCTATTTTAATTTGGATGTTTCTTCTTTCAATAACATGGATAATACAATTAATTCAGAACTGAAGGACAAAACTTGTCAACTAAAACCTTCTTCCTGTTCAAACAGGCCACAATCTTGGATTATGTTACATTTTGTTTTCTGCTTTTCACTTATGCTGCTCTTGCTAGCAAGCTTGCTCCTTCTGCTTTCATCAAAATTATATTTTAAAAATGTAATGGCACCAATGAAAAGTTTAGATAATAAGAAACAAAAAAAGTATTCTAATTTTGCTGTGAAAGTTTCACCATTTTATAATGCCTCTACATATAACTTTTCTAAATATTATCACATACATGTAATAAGTTGATTTGAAAAGTAGCTGCAATGGGTTGGTGATAGTTCTTTGCATTGTAATAACTTGGAGATACTTTAATGCATAATTACCTGAAATGCATAATTAAGAAAAACCAGGTCTCATGGTGAAAATTAATATCTTCTTTACACATTTTATAACACACATCATTTTGGATGCACCTGACAGATTCATGTCTCTTACATATCTTGAAGCAATAAATAAAGCATAGGTTGCCAGCAGCAAGTAAAGGGAAGAAAAAAAAAGGGGGCTTTTTCAATAGTAGTATCGGTATTCATAGACAAAAACTTTTTTAATCTGACTAGCTGAAAGTTCACCGAACTCCAGCATATACATAACGAAAAATTATTTTTCAGATGACTCATTTTAGATTTACATATTAGTATTTTTAAGAAAGAAGAGAGACATAGCAAAATTAAAGTTAGTAATTTTGAGTTTCATACTTATCTTGCATATATACATATAAATCATGTATAATAATAATACATAAATAAAATGGCTCTGAATGTCAATCAAATTTCAATAATACGATATGTCATTCTGTTTCAAAAGATTTCAATTTCAGGACAAAAAAATAAAGAGTAAAAAATTTAACAGTTCAGTAATTAAGCGTAAAATCTTCCTATAAAATAATAAAATATTCTCATAAAATTTCTTTTTTTTTTTTAGAAAATGTTTTACTTTTTCTATTTATGAGCAGAACAGTGTATTTGTAGAAGCTTAAGATGGTCAAAAAGCATTTTTGGTTAATCTTCGGATTATGGTAACTTGGCGATATTTTGGTGGAAATTTGGCGACCAACCCTGCTACAGCAACCTGCTAGTTTTTTTTTTTTTTTTTTGGACGCCATTTTTGTTTTCACAAAGTAAAGGCTTTTGTTTTTTTTTTTACTCAACACTTTTTTTCCAACAATCTGCCAGCCGAATTACACTTATGTTAGAACTTTAATGGAACAAAAGTGCTTAATCATGACGAAGATTAGGTGCAAAATTGGGTGAAAGTGCAGAATCGCCCACTGCTTGCTGCGTTTTTAAGAATTGCACATACACGGTATCCATGTACACGTCGACCTATTTTCACTTAAAAAACATCCCAGAATTGCACAAAAATGGCATTGTGCACACTCTTTACTTTATCCACGTACACTGCTAAAGTCCTAGCTAGTAACCTTTATTGCCTTACCAAAATGTCGCCAAACTACCTGTTACCATATTCCAAAGATTAGACTCATTTTTTTGCCAATTTTTAAAATTATCAGTTAGGAGACTTTTCATGTGAATGCAGATAATCAGAAAATATCTTTTCTTACAAGATTTAATAGATTAAAATTGTTACTTGTAATAAAGTAATACGCGGGCATTTCGAAAAGTAAATATACACCGTACGTCAGAGGAAAAGAAAAGTTTTGGTGAGCAAGTTGGCAACACAGGTGTTAACCCTTGAACCGTTAGCATTCTCCTTGCGGCCGTTCGGCATTTCAACGTTGATTCTGGTTGGAGTAGGTCGTGTTTAAAATGACTGCGCCGATTCAAAATCCCGCCAAATGCGAAGTGCGCTCCGTCATATGTTTTCCTCATGCAAAAGGTCAGCGACCAGCAGATATTCACAAAGAAATTGTTTCTGTTTATGGGAACATTATGAATTGACAAAATGTAACGAAATGGTGTCATCATTTCTTTGAAGGTAGGACCGATGTTCATGACGAACAAAGAACAGGTCAGCCATCTGTGATCTTTGATGCTCTTCTTCAGAGAACAGAGGAAGCAATTCGTGCGAATAGATGTCTCAAATTGAAAGAATTGCTTCAGATCATACCGGAAGTGTCAATGACAACTCTTTATGAAGTTGTGACTGTCAAGTTAGGGTACAGGAAATTGTGTGCGTGCTGGGTTTCAACAGGCGGCAACATTCTACGACTGTGGGATACAAAAGCTTGTGCACCAACTTAACAAATGTTTGGATAACGGGGATGATTATGTCGAAAAATAATAAATAACCCCGTTAATAAGATGCAACTGACGTTTTCTAAATAAATGTTTTTTATAAGGAATGCGAGCCATTGTATCTTTACTTTTTGAAATGCCGTACTATCAATAACAACTTTAAAAGACAAATTGGTACTGTTCTGTTACTGGGACCAGGTCCGGAAATGGGGTGAAATGCAGAATTGCCCACTTATTCCCAGTCCTTTATCAATATGTACATGGGCAAAGTTAAGAGAGCGCACAATGCCGAGTTTGTGCAATTCTCCGATTTTTTTTAAGTGAAAATAGGTCGATGCGTATACTGAGTTTGTGCAATTCTTGGACTTGTTTTCAAGTTGGCGATTTTGAAAATTGTGCCAAGCAGTGGGTGATTCTTCCCTTTCACCCAGAAATGTAGGCATGGATGGATGTGTTGTGTTCATGTACATATGCATATACAACTGTATTCATGTGTATTCACACACATACACTTCTGAATCTGGTCCTGATAAGAGAAGAGTACCAAAAAACTCTTATTAGTTTTATTTATTAACAGAATAAACTAATTCAAACTCTTATTAAAGGCAGACATACAGTAAGACAGCTGTATATAAGATAAAAGTTGATTTCATTAAAGCTCTTTGTAAAAATTTTAAAAAGCACATTAACTTTTGAAAGCTATTTCCTGCCCAAGATGAAAACTTTGCATAGTGAATTACAAATTAAGTTTCATATTTTGTTAAACAAATCAAAATTTTAAATATATACTCGTATCAAAATAATATAAAAACATAAAAATTATAAACAAGTTTAATATTTTAACCACTAAAGATTTCACACAGAAAACCTAAGGTTTTCTAATGTAATATCATTATAAATGCATGATGAATGCATTCTTCAATAATGTTTGCCTTACATAAAGAGGACAAACATAAAAGTAGATACACAGATAAATATAATTACTCTTCAAAATAATAACTTAAAATGGTACAGATTTCACTTTTTAATCAAACATATTTTCAGAAAAACATACAATGAATTTAAAAAAAATAAATACATAAATTTTAAAATAAATCTATTAAAAAATTTTTAAAGTATACAGAATTTAACATTTCTTTTAACAGCTGCAAGGTCTCAAAAACTTCAACTATTATAATTTTGTGAAAAGAACTCTGATTAATTTTTAAGAAAAGAATAACAGTAACAATATATATATAGCTCAAAGGGAAGCTCAAAATACTTCCTTTAGGTAGATATTAACAAATATCATACATGTTATCTCTATCAGTTTTAATGTTACTTTTCAAGACTCTTACACATCTCTAAAGCTAACTGCAAAAAATTGTAATATTGGCTTCAAAATAATAATAATTTCTTTTTACAAGTTACTAACTTTGTGCTAATTTAATACTAAATTATAAAATAACAAGCATAATGGTTTTAAAAAAATCAAAAGAAAGGTGTATTAATAAATAAACCTACAATGAATTTTGAAGGTTTTGCTAAATAATTGGATGAAATCAGTTTTGATTTTGTAATGTAAATCTTCAAAAACTGAACGAAATACTGATAAATGGAGATTAAAAAAAAAAAAAAAAAAGCAATGCAGTCAGCATAAAACTATTTTTAAAATGCTTTTAATGGCATTTGTAAATCAGAGCCATAACTATGCAGTACATAAAACACATACTGAACAATACACACAGTACATAAACATCACACTGAATAAATAGCCACTTTCATTTATTTTTACAATTTTTTCGTTTTATATTTTAAAAAATAATACCTCACACAAGAAGTGACTGCAAGTTGTCTATAAGCATAATCACAAGTTACATAACACATATACAAGACAAATAAATTTAAAATATTTAATTTCTTATTATTATTCATGTATTTTAACATTTTGATTTACGAAAAGACATATCACACAATTTTAAAAATAACTAACATAATGAAACTCACCGAGTTTGCCATCAAAATATTAAATTATTACGTTGGTTCGATAAATACAGGCCTTGCTATCAACTGCATACAAATTAACCAGTGTAACACGCGCTTGAATTTCATGCCACTCCAACTCTATCACATGATAAAACAACACGTGACACAATAAACAAAGTTTCAAGGAGCGCTCTTCATCAAAGGTATGTTTCTCGTTTAGATGAAAATATGAAACAAAAACTTCTAAAAAATTATCTAAAAATTTTGAAAACAACAGGAATGTGGGAATAAATTTCGAAGTTCATGAGAGATGAAAACAACAAAAATGTGAGGACAAAACTAAAAGCTCGTGGGGAAAAAAAAAAAAAAAAAGCTTCTGTCTTGTATTCAGCATAATGCAGCAGACATTATGAGGTTAGTTTCTATTTTCCTTACTTTGTTTCGTTGATAGATATGCATTACAAAAATGCGATGTTACTTCTACATAGCCATGTAACCGTTCCGCATCGAAGATTCTATAAATATAATTCTACCTTTGCTTATTTTCACATTTTTTGCCAAATTTATAAATACAGCTCTGTACTCACTAGAAACTTCAGGTGTCGCAATAACGGATGAATACAATTTAACAGACTCTTCTTTTATTATTATTTTTTAATTACTGACAGAATAAAAAAAGTGGTATAATATTCATAGTTCTAAATAAACTACATACGTAATGAAGAAAATACTTAATTTGTTTAATCAAATAAAATTTTAGTACTTTTCCGTTTTGCCGGCGCAGGCGATAAAGTTGCCAATAATAGTATAACTCATGCCAAACGGAATATCATCGCTGGTAACCTTTTCCGCCTCATTTACAAACCAAGTAGCAGCCATTTCTTATCAGATTGATTGTTTCTTTCAATACTGGCATACAATTACATAGAATTTTTACCAGATAGTTCAATTTTATGCCCTAAGGCCATTCGCGGTAATTAAGATAATTAGGGTGCAATCACACTGCTCACCTGAAGGCAAAGGTTAAACTCATCAACTCTAATGAGAATGCACTAGCGAAGTAAAGCACTGTGATTTTACATAATTTCTGAGTAAGCTATTCATACGAATTGAAATAATTCTTGCATTTAAACATGTATTCCAAATTAAGATTTAACTTAAAATTAATGTAGATAATTACTGAAAGAATTGATTTTTGTAGCGTAGTTTACGTGAGATAAGATCACTTGGGGTCAAGTGATATGAACCGGCGAATCAGGATGTTGGACCATGGAAGCATAGTAAATTCTTAAATTAATGTCTTTTTACAAATTTATTGTCTTTATTTATTGTCTTTTTAAAAAATTTTTAACTATATTAAAATGTTTATGCCTTCTAAAGAAAAAATTCTTAGAACCAACATTTGTTAACTGTTTGAGACGGCCGCTGCAGACAGACGATTACATAACGGCTCGGCGAAGATCAACAGAAGGAGCGCCGCATCTGATTGGACTATTTTTTATTATTCTTATTTTTTTTTTTTAACTGCGAACTAAGCGGGGAAATTCCCTTTTCAATTAGTTATGTATGCGGTTCTTAGAGTAATGTAACGTTTTTCAGCTTGTGTGAGATATCCATATTAAATCTTTATATTAATAATCCCTGGTGTGATTATTTAATTTGTAACCTGCACATTGTAGCCCTGAGAGTTACAACATAGTAAATTTGCGTCCGCTACTTTATATTTTTGGATGAAATATGGATATAAAAGTTTTGAAAGCAAAACGAAAGTTGCTGAGAACAGAGTTGACGGTATGCTGCAACGATATAGCTCAAAAGATCGAAAACAAAAGTTTAGGAAAACAAAAGTTTTTTAGGATTTTATCTGTGTCTAAGTCAGTACGTTGTTTCGGCAGATTCAAGACAAATTCTCACGTTTGGAAACAACTCAAGAAGAAGTTTCGAATTTGTTGCTGAAGTGATGATGCCCTTCAAGAAGAATATTCCGAAGATTTTTTGAAAGCAGAAGAATACCGTCACAAGTTCTTCTTGATCTGTTCGCTGTTAGAAAATGCAAAGAAGGGAAATTCGGTTACGGAAGGAACAACAACCGATCAAAAAAGGAAATTCAAGCTTCCGAAACTTGAATTGAGGAAATTCAGTGGAGAACCGAAAGACTTTCTTGCTTTTTGATCTCAGTTTGAGAAAATCGACATAGATAACTCTATCGTCGATGAAGATAAATTTCAATATCTTTTACAATGTGTGGTAGCAGATTCTAAAGCGTCAAGACTCGTCACCAGTTTTCCGCCAACTAAAGAAAACTATTCAAAGGTCATCGCACAACTTAAAGAACGCTTCGGAAGAGATGAACTTTTGGTTCAGATTTATGTACGGGATCTACTTTCCATTGTAATGAAAAATGCTGCTGGTAGGATTAAAGTAGATTTAGCTGAACGTTATGATTTATTTGAGAGCAAGCTTATGACTCTTGAAAGTCTCGGTAGAAGTAAGGACAAATTTTCAGAATTTTTAGAGCCACTTGTTGAGTCCTGTTTACCAGAGACTGTTCTTCGTGCGTGGGAAAGAAGCCGCTCGATGGAAGATACTGCGTCACAGCAAGATAGTACACGTTCGTTGGATAAACTTTTGTGCTTTCTTCGAAATGAAGTGCAAAGTGAGGAAATGATTAAGCTCGCTCGTACCGGGTTGGGAGCTTCACATCCTGCACATTCGCGTCCCCATTGTGATGATCCGGGTTGCTCTACAGCTGCTGCCTTGGTAAATGTTCAAGACAATACAGGTAGGCGAAATTTACGTTGTATTTTTTGTGAGAAATCCCACAATTCGGCCGAATGTTTTTCTGCTCGCAAAATGTCTTTAGAAGATAAACGAAAGCTTTTGGTGCAAAAGCGCGCCTGTTTTCGCTGCTTACGAGTTGGACATAGTTCACGGGCATGCACAAATAAAGTAAAATGTTTAACATGTGATAAATTTCACTATACCATTATGTGCTCCAATGGCGAACCTGTAAGGCCAAATGAAACTGACTGTACTGTTATTTTTTCAGTAATGTGTTGTCTAATCACTCAACTGTTAATGAAAATGTGTATTTGCAAACACTTGTTTTACAAACAGTTTTTGAGGGTAGACAATTTACAATTCGTGCGATTTTGGACAGTGGTTCTCAGAAATCTTATCTTTCAGAAAGGGTTATCGCGTTTTTGCAACTGCGTCCTAAACCGAAACAAACCATTATACACGGTTTGTTTGGGGGGAGAGAGACAAGTCCTCATTCTCATTTAGTGTTTGATGTTAATTTAAGAAATTTTGAGGGCACTTATGACCATGACTTTGAAGTACTTTCTCAGAACAAAATATGTGAATGTGTTCCAAAAGTAGTTGATCCCAATACCCTAAAAGAATTAAAATATTTGAAATATTACCTTGTCTGATTTGCAAGCTAAGGAATATGACATTGAATTGCTTTTAGGAGCAGATGCCATTGGGGACATTATTACTGGCAGTTATCTGAAACTGAAGTCTGGTGTAACTGTAGTTGGGACTAAATTTAGATACACTGTGATTGGTAAAGTAAACATCTTCATAAAGAACCTACTTCAGCTACTATTCCAGCATTACTACAAAATAATTTGTGCAATAATGTAGTTTCGTTGCACTGTGCTAATCTTAGCGTAACTGAACTCTGGAATTTAGATGCCATTGGCATAACAGATCCCACTGAAGATGTTAAACGTCAACTTGCTCACTCTGACACCGTTAAGCAATTTAAAGAGAATTTAAATGTTCTTCCTGATGGCCCATATGAATTGCCACTACCCTTTAAATCTGAAATTCTGTTACCTAGCAATAAGTCTATGACTTTTAAAAGGCGTCAAAGAATGTGTCTACAAATTCATGAGGAAAATCAGTTAGATGAATATAAGGTAGTTTTTAAGCAATGGGAAGACCTAAAAATAATAGAAAAGGTTCCTGAAACTGAAATTCATAATTTGAGTTATTATTTATCCCATAGACCTGTTATAAAGCATACTAGCCAGACAATGAAGGTAAGGCCGGTTTTCGACGCTTCAGCCCGAGAGAGAAATCAGCCGTCCCTTAATGATTGTTTAAATAGAGGGCCGAACTTAATTGAACTCATACCTGATATAATTGACAGGTTTAGATTGTATTCTGTTGGTTTATCATCCGACACAGAAAAAGCATTTCTTCAGCTGAGTATTATCCCAGAACACAGAGATTATTTGAGGTTTTTTCTTCCAACTCTTGAAGAACCTATGATTTACAGACACTGCAGAGTGGTGTTCGGCATTTGTGTTCGTCTCCGTTCCAACTCTCTGCATCCATCGATAGAGCATCTCTTGGATAATTCCCCTGCCGAGTTTGACGATGTGACCCAAAAATTAAAGCATTCATTTTTATGTTGACAATTGTGTTCACTGGGGTTCACGATATCAAACAGCAAGAAAATTTTATAGTTAAGGCTACAGAAGTAATGGCTCGGGAGATGTTTTAACCTACGTTGGTTGGGAAAGTAATGTTCCAGGTCATTGTATTTCCCGTAGTTCAGGTATAACTTCTCTTCTTGGAATCTTATGGGATTTGGATAACGATACATTAAAATGTAATCTTAATTATTCAATGGATAATGAGATACCTTGTCTGATTTGCAACTAAAGTAAGGTAAACGTACTATTTTGGCTATGGTACATAAAATTTTTGATCCGCAGGGTTTTTTAGTCCAACTACCTTGTTACCTAAGTTACTATTACAGGAGGCTTGGACTATGAAATTAAAATGGGATGATCCCTTGCCAGATAACATTCAGAAAACTTTTCAGAACTGGCAGGATGAAATTAAATATCTTGAGAAAATTAGTATTCCACGATATGTAGTGATAAATGAGAACTCAGAGCTGCATCTATTCGTTGATGCTTGTAAGAGCTCCTATGGTGCATGTCTTTACATTAGAACTGTAACGCCCGTGGGAGTCAAAATTCGATTGATCAGAGCCAAATCCAGGGTAGCGCCGTTAAAATCTCTGACAATACCCCGGTTACAATTGATGGCTTGTTGTATTGGCGCGAGACTGGTTCACTCAGTATACGCGGCCTTAGATTTGCCTGATTTGAAAATTATTGCATGGAGTGATTCTATGGTAGCACTCTGGTGGATTAAGAACTGTGGTGATTGGTCAGTTTTCGTTGAGAATAGGGTAAAAGAGATAAACAGTCTGATTCCTTCTCAGTGTTGGCGCCATGTTCC